TACAAGACTGTTCACACAGCCCACAAAGGGGTGCACTAAGAATGTCCACCTCAGGGGGGGAGGCTGAGCCACTGGGCCCTATAAAACACCAACTACACAAAGCCACTCTATCAACTCAGGGAAGCAGCCAAAATGTGGAGACAAAGAAACAGATCACAAGTGAAAGAAATGGAGGAAAGCAAATGACTGGATATAGAGTTCAAAACCACACTTATAAAGTTTTTCCAGAATTTTCTAGAAAAGGCCTATAAATTTAGTGAGACCCTTGAAAATATGAAAAAGGACTAACTAGAAATTAAGCATACATTGACTGAAATAAAGAATAATATACAGAGATCTAACAGCAGACTAGAGGATCAACAAGAATCAAGTCAAAACTTTGAAATACAAAGAAGCAAAAATCACACAACAGGAAAAGAAAAAAGAATCCAAAAAGTTGAAGATAGTATAAAAAGCCTCTGGGACAACTTCAAGTGTACCAACATCAGAATTATGGGGGTGCCAGAAGAAGAGAGCAAGATACTGAAAACCTATTTGAAGAAATAATGACTGAAAACTTCCCCCACCTGGTGAAAGAAATAGATTTACAAGTCCGGGAAGCATGCAGAACCCCAAACAAAAGGAATCCAAAGAGGACTACATCAACACACATCTTAATTAAAATGCCAAGAGCAGAAGACAAAGAGAGAACATTAAAAGCAGCAAGAGAAAAACAGTTAGCCACCTACTAGGGAGTACTCATATGATTGTCAGCTGATTTCTCAACAGAAACTATGAAGGCCAGATGGGAGTGGCAAAAAATATTCAAAGTGATGAATAGCAAGAACCTACAACCAAGATTACTCTACCCAGAAAAGCTATCATTCAGAATTGAAGGGCATAAAAAGAGCTTAACAGATAAGAAAAAGCTAAAGGAGTTCATCACCACCAAACCAGTATTATATGAAATGCTGAAAGGTATTCTTTAAGAAGAGGAAGAAGAAAAAGGTAAAGATAAAAATTATGAACAACAAACACATATCTATCAACAAGTAAATCAGGGGCATAGAAAGGGAATGGACTGACAATTCTTAGGGGGGTGCGGGAAGAGACTGGACAAAAATCGTACACCTATGGATAAGGACAGTGGGGAGAGAGGGTAAGGACAGAGAGTGGGGTGGGAACCGGGTGGAGGGGGGCTATGGGGGTGGGGGTGGGAAAAAGGAACAATTGTAATAATCTGAGCAATAAAGATTTATTAAAGTTAAAAAATGATTAAGAACACTTATCTCCTGGCAGGAGAGAGTATAGAACCCATCATCATCTTCATCGCTGTTGCTGATACTGCTGCCATGATTGCCTACATCCTCACTTATTTCTAAACTAGAGGCCTGATACCCAAAGATTCATACAAGAATAGGCCTTCCTTCCCCTGGCTGCTGTTACCACCTTTGCTCCAGCTAGAGCCGCCTTTTCACTCTGGCCTGGAACTGCCTTTCCGCCTTATGTTACCCGGAGGCCTGGAGCAGCTGGGGTGGTGTGGAATGCAAGCATCCCACCCCGCCCCTGGACGCTCATGCCTTTGTATGCAAATTAACCCACCATCTTTGTTGGGTGAATTTGCATACTCACTCCTGATTGGCTGGTGGGCATCACAAAGGTATGGTCAATTTGCATCTTACTCTTTTATTAGTGTAGAAGGGAAATGCCCACCTTCTTTCCCCACTAACATGGCCCCTATCCTCCTTGAAAATTATGTTGGAGGAGTCTGTTTTGCATAGACAGGAGGACAGTAAAGTGGCAGAGTCATCAATTTCTCTTACCCAGAGTGGGACAAACTAAGTCCTGGAGGCCAGAGTGGATGTGAAAGTACAGGAAGGGGAACTGAGTAGGCAAAGGCCCTGAGGCAGGGAAAGTGGGGGTTAGCCAGGACAGAGGGTCCCCACAGGAGTGAAATGGGTGCAGAGGCCACAGATGGTGTTTTCTATGCAGCCCATACTCTCCTAAGCCCTTTGTGTGCATTTACCTACTTATCTATTACACACCCACCAGGGCGGGGTGGAGGCTGACCCACTAGGGCGGGGTGGAGGCTGACTCACCAGGGCGGGTGGACACTGACCCGCTAGGATGGGGTGAACATTGACCCGCCAAGATGGGGTGGAGGCTGACCCACCAGGGCGGGGTGGAGGCTGACCCACTAGGGCAGAGTGGACGCTGCGCTCTCTCTGTCCCTCCCAATGTGCACAGGTGGGTGTTTAGAAGTTTCCAAACATAAAACCATTTCCGTATAACTAAGCCTCCTTAGATTGCATGTTACTGGGCCTTGTGCATTGGCTGACGTCACAGACGTCGCTTTTTCCAACCAGAGCAAGCGCTTCCTGAGCAAGCTGCCCAGGCGATCAGACGTGTTCTGGGCGTGTCCTATCCCTACCCACCCACACCCCGGGCCAGGAGCTGCCCCGCAGCGTCCTCTGTGCTGGGGGAAACCGGCCCCGGGGACAGTGTCCGTCCTGCGGCCTCTAGTGCAGCGTCTGTCACATGCAAGGACCTCCCGAGTGGTATGGAGGGGCCCCGGGCATCCAACTGCCCGGAACGCAGGTCTGTGCTTTGTTCCCAGGAGGCCGTGAGCAGAGACCTAGGCAAGGCGGCCGTGAATGCGGAGCGGTTGTGAGGCTGCATGGCGGAGGCGTTCCTTAAAGGGAAAGGACGTTTGAAAGCGCTTGATGGACAGGTTTGGCAGCACCGTCAAGCAGGGTCCGCCTGGGCTGAGAAACAGTGAATACATAGAACGTTCCTCTCTGGGGAGACCCAGCATCTATTTGTTCCTGCCTCCCAGCTGGGGGGCAAGGTGGGTGAGGCACCTGGGCATGGCTCAGTGGAAGAAAAGAGGTTGAAAATGAGGTGCTTTTCTAAGTTAGGGGACAGGAATCCTTTCCTCCCGCTAAGAACCTTTCTTCTGACCCAAATCAGCAGAGCGGAGCTCCGCACGCCTTAGAGGCAGGGAAACCAGAGGCGCCTGCTCCTTCCCACCCACTCACTCTGTGGCTCTGGGCAAATCACCTAAAAACACAAGCCGTGTCTCCTCCTCTGTAGCTGGGATGTGGGAGTGATTAAAGCCTCCTTTCTCTTCCCTGATTACCAAGCTCATTCCCACTTACTGTTCCCACCACCCGGAATGCTTTTCCTACACATATGTATGTATCGTGTGTGCATATATAAACACACATTGACATGTCTGTGTATCTGTGTGCATGCCTATGTGTGTATATATGAACAGATCTAGACATATATAGATGTGTATATATCTATATGACTACACAGTAAAGGCATGTATATGAATGAACAAACTACAGCACATTTACACACAGCAATGCCATGGAGCTGTTAAAAGGGGTGAGAGAGATCTGCAAGAACCCAAAACACTCAGGCCTCCAGGGCCAGCGCTGAGTGGAAAAGCAGCTGGAAGTGGCCTCTCTAAAGGAGGTGAGAGCAGACAGCGTGGCCTGAGACTCAGCACTGTGGCTGCCCCTACGGGAGCAAGAGGAGGCGGGAAAGGATGGGGAAGAGGAGGGAGGGAAAGAGTGGGACTGCAGGGCCCCAACCACTGTGGCTCAGTGGATAGAGTGTTGGCCTGTGGACTGAAGGATCCCAGGTTCGATTCTGACCAAGGGCATGTGCCTCGGTTGCAGGCTCCCAGGCCCTCATCAGGGCACGTGCAGGAGGCAGCCAATCAGTGTCTCTCTTACATCAGTGTTTCTTTCAGTCTTTCCATCGCCCTTGCACTCTCTCTAAAAATCAATATAGAAAATACTTTTGGATAAAGAATTTTAAAAAATTAAAAATATATTTAAAAATAAAGAATTGGACTTATGGGAGAAATGGAGGAGGGAGAGAATGAGCCTGTGGGAATTTAAGAGAACTTCAGCTGTGTGGATAGAGTCATTTCTTTAAAATAATAATAATAATAATATTAAAAAAAGAGCTGAAGCAAAAATGACAAAATATTACAGTTCGTTTAACTTGAGTGCCCTGGAGTATGTATATTTCAAGACATATTTTACATGCAAACTATTGCTTACTATTTTAAAGGGAGGGAGAGAAAGGAAAAGAGATTCCAGCCCGATTCCAGCTTTGCCACTGGACGTCAGACAGAGGACCTGGGTTCTCCGAGGCGGGGGTCTCACAAGGATGTGAGTTCGGGCTGCCCGGGGAGCTGCCGAGCTAGGCAGCCGCCTGGCATCCAGGGCCTGTGCCCTGTGGTGGCAGAATGCTCCCCAGTGCCTTCCCAGAGGCGCCCTATTCAGAGACATTTGTTTTCAAAACTGATCAGCAATCATGTGGATGCAGCTTCAAACAAATCTGACCCCAGAGAAATCACATGGCGCTGCTGTCCCAGCAAAAGCTCGTGCCACCCTGCACGGACCCGGGCCAGCTCAGGGCACGTGCTGACGGTGGTGTCCGGGCTGAGGCACTGGGTGGTTGGAGGGAATGTACTATCTCTCTTGTTATTTTAAATTGTGTGCCATGTGTGTAGGTCACCTACTCAAAACACACACACCACTTATTATTTATTATCAGTATCATTATTTTTAGATTAATTGAAAGGTCATGATCTTCCCCACTTCTTCCATTCTAAACCCACTTAAAGGAGGGCCCTGAGTACAATCAGTCTCCTACCTGAGCACACGCAGCCCCATAAGGCCTCGAGGTCTGCCACAGGAGGGGGGCAGGCTCGGTGCTGGGTGAGTCCCCAGGACCTTACTCACTGGCGGGAGGCTGGGCAGGTTCCCTCAGCTCCTTGGGCCCCGCAGCCCCGCCCATCCGCTCTCTGAGAGGAAAAGTAAACTGCAACCTGAGCATCAAACTGTCAGAGCAGCGCCCCAGCCTCAGCGTGCGCTCTGCAAGGCACAGGTGGCTGATCCAAAGCCTGGCGTCCCTCCCCTCCCTAGGGAGGCGGGCGGCGTGTGCCTGGGCCAGCGAGGCCTCCGGCTCCGGTAAAGCAGGTCTTCCTCTCCCCGCAGCCAACGTCCTGACGGTGGTCATTCTGTCCCGCCTGGTGGCGCGCAGGCAGAAGTCCTCCTACAACTACCTCCTGGCGCTGGCCGCCGCCGACATCCTGGTCCTCCTCCTCGTCGTGTTCGTGGACTTCCTGCTGGAGGACTTCGTCCTGCGCGCGCGGCTGCCCGCGGGGCCCGGCCAGCTGCTGGGCGCGGTGGAGTTCTCGGCCGTGCACACGTCCACCTGGCTGGCCGTGCCGCTCACCGTGGACCGCTACCTGGCCGTGTGCCGCCCGCTGCGTTACCACGCTGTGTCCTACCCCGCGCGCGCCCGCAGGGTCATCGCGGCCGTGTGCGCCGCGGGGCTGCTCACGGGCGTCCCCTTCTACTGGTGGCCCGACCTCTGGGCCGAGGGCCGCGCGCGGCCCCCCGCGCACCACGCGCTGGTGTGGGCGCACTGCGCCGCCGGCTACCTGCTGCCCTGCTCCGTCTTCTGCGCCCTCAACTGGGCCATCGTGCGGCGGCTGCGGCGGCGGAGCGCGCTCCGCCTGCGCGGCTGCCCCGCGGGCCGCACCACGGCCATCCTGCTGGCCGTCACCGCCGCCTTCGCCGCGCTCTGGGCGCCGCGCGTCGCCGTCCTCCTCGGCGGCCTGTACGGCGCAGGGGGCCGCGGGCTGGCGCGCGCCGCGGCGGGCGTGGCGGACATGCTGGCGCTGCTCAACACGGCGGCCAACTTCTTCCTCTACTGCTTCGTCAGCCGCCGCTTCCGCGCGCTGGCCGCCGCCACGCTCCGCGCGCTGCTCACCTGCCGCCCGCAGCCCGCGCACCGCCCCGGCCGCAGCTTCTCCATCACCAGCAGCCCCTGGGTGTCCCCCGCCAGCTCGCACTGCGTCCAGATGCTGGTGCACCAGTGCGAGCAGGACGGGTCGGGGCCGGGCCGCCTGCCAGAGCGTCCCTGTGAGCCCGCCATCCATCCCAGAGACTGCCCGCCTCCCTCGGCTCAGACTGTGGGCCAGAAAAGATAGAGAAGAGCAAAGGCTATGATTCTCGTTCCCACTGGTGCCATCGTTTTCACAAAGGCACGGTGACAGCTCAAGTCCCTAGCAGTTCCAAGGTCGTGACACCCTCCCGTGGCCAGCAAGGACGGGAGCAGAGAAATGTGTGCAATGGTCTGTGATTTGGCCTTGGCACCGGCCATACCCACCACACCGAATGTGGCACACGAGCCTCAGGACCCCTCTGGAGCCACTCTTCCTCAAGAGATGCAGTCACCGCCGCTTCCCCTGCCCTTCCCGGAAGCTCGCTGCTGACCAACGTGGGATTTCCTGGGGTGCCCTTGGTCCTGGAGAAGCAGTGGTTTTGGAATGGCCCAACACCTCTCGCTGCAAAATGAATCTGTGAGAACGATGGTGTGAACCCCAACCAGACCCTGGCCAGAGCTTCTTTGGAAAGACTCCAAACCGACATCATTCTACCCTCAGACTTCCAGGTCCGAGGCAGTCTTTCTTTCCCTTTGATGTGGACATTTTAGCCATCTCCTTCAAAGCAGAGACCCTGCCTGGCACATGGCGGGAGAGGGCGCTTTCTTGAGCCCAGAAAAACAAAGCCCACGTTTGCCATTTCAGCTCATCTGAGTAGCTGTGTGTAGTCCTGTCAGTCAGACAGCTTCCTGCTGCAGCCCCCGCTTCCCGAAGCCTTCCGCATGGAGAGCTGCCCACCGCCTCCTTGCTTGCTGAAGCCCTCACCGGTCCTTTCATTGGAAGTGACTTCTGAGCTGAGTTTGATTTTCCAGGGCCAAGAGCTGTAGCTCTCCAGGTGTGAAGACAGGATGCTCTGCTTTGCCCACAGGACAGCTGGCTTTGCCATCCAGTCGCACATGCAGACACACACGTGCAGACACATGTGTGCAGACACACATACAAACACACATGCATGCGAACACTGCATATGCAAACACACATGCAGACACAGTTGACGTGGTGGCCATGTTGTCCACTTGTGTGCCATTTGATATACATGGCGCAGGATAAATAGCAGGTGAAGCTATTTAATCAAGATCCTTTGCAAAATGTAGATTTATTTATTTATTCTCCCCTTGAAATCCCCCACACACATGCACACAGTTGACCGTATCAACTTCTCTGTGGCCAGTGATGTGTTTGAAGGAAAAGCCACACTGGAGCACCTCTCATTTGCCTTTTCTTCTCTCAGATTCCCTGTTCTGGAGGAAATCTCCTGAACAACTTTGGGATTGCACAATAGTCTTGGTGACCAAACAAACAGCAGATGGTCCGCCTGAACCCTTGGTTCCTTGGCATTTTTGTTTCTAAATTAGAAGACATGTCCCCTTTTCCAGGGAGTTGGACCTGTCAGTGCAGTAGTGAGCACCAGAGCCACAGAAGCCTGAACATCAGCGGGTGCCCTCAGTACTGGCTCCATATAATTTTAGGTCCTGTTAGTCCTGCTGTCCTAATTCCCGCTCCTTTTTACTAGTTGCAGTAAAAATCATCTTTCCCAAGAATTCCATTCACAAGTCAGTGCGGAAAACAAAGCCCAGCGGAGCCGGGCCACCAGGCAGCACCTCCGCAGGCAGCTGGCCAGCTGTGTTCTCTCCCTTAGGACAAGGGCACACAGCAAGTCGCTCCAGCGACGGAGCAGGTGCTGTTCTCACTCCGAGGACAGGACGGCTGGCTGTGTGCAGGGACACAGGCCTGGCTCTGACGTGGGTGACAATGCTCCGGTCGGCGACAGGCTCCATTCGCAGAGGCTCCTAGAGCCAAGAGACTGGGAGAAGCAGGTTCCGCTGCCCAGGCCACCCTCCCCACAGCACGCGCGCCCCGAGCGGCTTGGCGGGCAGTCCCCACACCCAGAAGTCTCGGTTTCTTTTTGCTGAGCATGTGTAGCCAAATGTGTGTTCATTTAGCAAGTACGAGGAGATGCCAGCACACCCCTCTGAACAAACATTGCCAGTGGCCACCTACCCCGACATGCAGAGTAAGCCCATCCTTCCTCATGCCTCTGAGCACAGTGACCCAGCCCAGGGCCTTCTCCGGGAAGGTTGGGCGGCTCCCTTGTCAGAATGCACGGAAGATGGGAGAGGTGCGTGTGCACAGCGTCCTCTGTCCCGACTTCAGTTACACAGGAAAGGCCATTGCTGATGGTCAGAAGGAGAAGCTGGGCCTGCATGGGAGGTGCTTTCCTTGTTCACTGACTGGCCACTTCTGTTAACAGTCGAGGCTGTACCACGTAGCACTGTGGCCCTTCCTCTGACTGTGTTTGGATAAAATGATAGTTAAAAGAGGGCTTGTTTTTAATTTTTCTTCTTGCATTATTTTTACTTTTCAATTACAGTTTGCTTTCAGTATTATTTTGTATCAGTTTCAGGGTTAGACAATCACATACTCTTCAAAGTGTCTGCTGCTATTCCCAGTACCCTCTGGGCACCTCATATAGTTATCACAATGTCATTGACGTTGCAGCATTAAATCCTGTCCTTTACACCCATGGCTATTTCATTACTACCCACTGGTACTTCTTAATCCTTTACAGAAGATCTGATTCTCATAGGCACTCTGAGGGACTGTCTTTTGAGTAAAATAGGTCAGTGGCAAACTTGTTAGTCAACAGAGCCAAATATCAACAGCACAACGATTGAAATTTCTTTTTAGAGCCAAAATCCAACTTCTGTGCATGGTCCACGACTGTGCGCCCACACCTGGTATTTTGTGGAAGAGCCACATTCGAGGGGCCGAAGAGCCGCATGTGGCTCTCGAGATGCAGTTTGCCGACCACTGGGTTAGGTTGATACATGTCTCCTAAATTTCATTATGCATTTCAGATAATCTATGGACTTCTAATTTATTGTTATTTTTAATTTATTACTATTTACAGTAATAACTGTGGGCAGTCGTGAAAATGTTTTTTTTTTAATTTTGTCTCTTCTCCAGGCCAGTTTGGAAACAAAGCCTTGCATCTTGGAGCTGCCTTCCCAGGTCTCTGCCTCCTCAAAGGTTGTCTGCTCGCTGCCTCTTGTTCTCCCTGTGTGTCCTCCTGGACACGTAGTGATACTCTAGACCACACGCACTGTCTTCCGGGTGAACAATGTGAGTGCTAACGTGTCTTGAGAGGAAGGAAAAGAGGAGGAAGAGAGACAAACCATAAAAGCCAGGTCATGAGAGGGCATACTCTCATTCTGTAAATGTTGCAATTGGAGAAGATTACTTAGCACAATTATACCATCTGGTCCCATGGGAAGGCTTATCTGAAGTGAATATAAGACACTAATGTTGGCTATGCCAGCTCAGATAACGGGATAGTGTTATAATAGAAAACTAGGAAACATTCATATTTTCTTAATTAGAAAATACATTGTACTTGGACTTGTCTGTATCATAATAAATTCTAATATGGGGCACACGTGGTGTTTGGTATTTGCATATATGTTCAAGCCCTTGCAGAACTCTGATTCAAATTGTTTAAATGAGCATCTTGCTTATACTTTGTTCTGGTGCTAGAATGAGACCTGATCCAGCCTGCATCCTGGTGAATCAGATATATCTCAGAATTTAAGGCCATGGAACTCAGAGTTCAACGGTCCTGAATTAGGTAGCTTGCTGGGTATAAATCTGAATGCTCTTATGACCACATCTTCTATGGGTCTTCCAGACAGTGAGAGCCAATTTTAGGTAGAAATATAGCATGATGGCTAAGAGCTTAGACTTAGAAGTCAGACAATCAGGGGATTATGGCCCAGCTCCACCATAGATTAGATGTATGACCTTGAGCAAAGCCCTGAGATCTCGGTAAGCCCATCCTCAGGCAGAAAAGTGGTGCCACAAGTTAATTTTTCCCCCAGTTGCCTGCAAGGTAAGCAGGAGATCTTGTGGTTAATAAGCCAAGGTCTGAGTCTATTATTGTGAGCTATAGCTTTGCCAGCTCTGCCACTTCCTAACTGCATGGTCTTGGGCAATGTTCTCAATCTCTCTGGGTCTCCATTTTCTCCCCTAAAACAGGGGTAACAGTAACCCAGGACACACCTCACAGGGCAATTATAAAAAGAGCTGCCAAGTGTACATTCTTTCCTAGGGGAGGATGCAGGGCAAAAGAGGTTAATGATTTTGTCCAGCGGAGAAGGCAGGTCAACTAACCCTATCCTTCCCACACTGCTCATCAATTCCATGAATCTGACTCATTGCTCCAAAAGGTCACATTTTTTTGCCCTTTTTAGACTTGGGTATATTGCATAGTTTTCCAACTCTTTAAACTCAGGACATACAAGCAGGAGATTCTATCTAATAAAAGAGTAATATGCAAATTGACTGTGCCTCTGCTATACCCACAAGCCACACTCACCAGCCAATCAGGAGCAAGTATGTAAATTAACCCAACCAAGATAGCTTCAGCCATGGAGCTGCAGCAAGCAGGAGGCTTGAGTTACCCCAGCGATGGAGGAAGCCAAGCTTTCCTGCTGCCCTGGCCAGCCCAGGCCTACACTTAAGGCTACAAAGTTTCAATTATAGAAGATAAATAAATCCCAACAAAAATGGCTTCGGCCATGGAGTGAGCAGGAGGCTTGGCTCCGCTCCAGGCTTTAAAGTTTCAATTATAGGAGATAAATAAAACCCAGATACCAGCATGGCTGGCCTGCAAAACAGACCCATCACCCAAACTGCCCCATGCCCCAAGGGAACATCCACTCTGATCCGGGATACTCTTCGGGGCAAACCAGCTGGCCCCCACCCACTTTGTGCACCAGGCCTTTAACTTATCTAATTCTATCTAATAAAAGTAATATGTAAATTGACATCACTCCAACATACAAGATGTCTGCTCCCATGTGGTCAAAGATGGCTGCCCCCATGTGGACACAAGATGGCCACAACAAGATGGCCTGCAAGGGAGGGCAATTGTGGGCAATCAGGCTAACAGGGGAGGGCAGTTGGGAAATACCAGGCCTGCAAG